GCCCACCACGGCGCCCCCCGCCACGCCGCCCTCTGTCGCCCCCCCACGCCACTCGGCACGGCGCCCTCTGCTGCCGGCAAATGCTAAAAGACTGTTTGATGAAAAAAAAAAAAAGACTGTTTGATGAAGACAACCTTCCAGAAGTTTCGCCCCCAATGGCACATCCTCCCTTGTCCTGCAAGATAAGTGGCTGGACAACACACTAAAGCCCCAGGACTGCCCAAAGGGAAGGGCCTGAACACAGATGCAGGACACAAGGCATCTTGGCCAACTTCACTGCCACCTATCACCTATGGGAAGTGGATCGTGTCTGGTTCAGAGGACAACCTGGTTCACATCTGGAATCTTCAGATGAAAGACCATTGTACAGACACGTAAAGGCCACACTGATGTTATGATGTCACCCGGCAAGAACATATCCTCACCTCAGGCCCCTTAGAAAATGACAAAACCATCAAACTGTGTTAGGCCAGCAGACACGCGGAGGAACAGAGTGGCTCCTGGGGTTGGCTGACCTGGTCCTGGCCAAGGTTGCTGGTGACACTGCCCGACAGTCCTGCCACCCTGGGAGGAGTCCTGGTCACACTGTTGGAACAGTCAACACGTTTTCACTTTCACCTATAGGAGGGCAACGTTGGGTTCCTCACAGGTGGCTTTCTCCCTGTCAGTGTTCTGTACCCTCTGATACTCTCTCTTCTGGTGTCTCTCGGTGACAGGCACCCCACCTGCCATGGCACCGGCCGTCATGTGTCTGTGGACCTCTGACACACAACTCTCTCCTGTTTGTTGATTCCCATTTGTAGTGCTTCCCAGTGTCATTCTGGAAAACAGAACACTGTGAATTTATTTTCTTATAAAAACAGTTTGGTGTTGTGAAGCTGGCAGTTCATGTTGTTCATGGCATGGTGTTTGTCCCCGTGTCCCTGTTGCCTTGCTTTCCTGTGCTCCCTCAGTTGACAGCATATACCGCCCAGGAGTGGTGGATGCCCATGGACCTGCCTCCAACCATCTGCATCAGACAGCCTCATGCCCAGATCCTAGCCAAAGACCAGACCCCCAGGGCCGTGGGCTGGACAGTATTGGGGTGGACGATCTAGTGGAAGGCCTCACCCCCTAGGCCCAGGACTGGGCTGTACATGGTGGGCAGCAGTTCTCCACAGCAGGCCGAGAAGCCCTGGGTTGGGAGACAGTGGACAGTCCTCTGGAGATGGCATATTGATGTGATGAAAACTGCTTGAATTTCTAGCCTGTGTGCATCTCATTCGAGTTGTGGTCTCCAGTGGCTGAGTGGATTTGGGGTATCATGGCTGTGGCCACTCTTGTGGGATCAGGTGTGTGTGGAGAGCCCACCGACCTTCCCTGACCTGGGTTGAGTCAGGGGGTTCTGGGATCGCAGAGCCAGGTGTGACCCCTTGAGGATCTTGCCTGGAGCGAGGCAAACATGGCTGCAGGGTTGCTCCTCAGCTGAGGGTCATCAGAGGCCTTCAGGGCTGATGGTGTGGTGGTGGACACCCACCCTTCTGGACGCTCGATTTGCTGGTATCAAGTTCTGACTGGGTGACTGTCAAGCAGAGTGAAGAAACCAGTTCTGGAACACCCTGGGGAGTGTGTGCATGTCGCCCCAGCCTGGTAGTTGTGAAGATAGCTGATCAGTTCTTAGATAACTGCAGTCAAATGGGTTTTCGACTCAGGCTCAGGGTCCCTGGGCCTTGAGGGTGGAAAGTGCTGAGATTGCTTCTCTTGTGTGCATCTCACAGGCCCTGGAGATGCCGAGGTTCATTCAGTCACTTGGCCTGGTGGTGGTACTTCAGGAACTATCCAGTGAGCACCAGGCCTGGATAGAGTTTATTTTTCCTATATTTGAATTCTCTGCTGTAGATTTATGTAAAAATGCATTTTCTTTTTTAAAAGAAATGGTTTTCATGCCCCGTAAAAAAACAAACAAAAAGACTGCTGATGTGACAAGAAGAGGGTAACTGAGGGGTGGGGGTGGTAGAAGAATAGAAATGTAATAGGTAGACTGCACTACAAGGACCAAGATGCGAGGGCAACTTGGGAAGAACTTAGAGAAAGACAATCTGATTGTTGCACTTAGCAAATAGCAACAAGATGTCTGGGGTGTGTGTGTGTGTGTGTGTGTGTGTCTGTGTGTGTGTGTGTGTCTGTGTGTGTAAAAGGGAAAAGGGAGAATGCGAATGGAAGAAGGAAGAGGAAATCACTCGGACAGCAGAGGTTAGTAGGGGGAATAGGGGCAAAGAAATAGGCAAGGTGCAGGGGGGACTTGACACAGGGAGAGAAAAGTAACAGTTCAGTAGTAATTAATTATGTAAAGCAATGTACATAAATGAATATAAAATGTACATGAATGAAACAATGCATACAGATTTGTATAAAAGTGAATGATGGTTAAGTGTCATCAAGCCACATGCAACTCATAGCAACCTTATATACAATAATTCTGAAGCCTGCCCTGTCCTGAGCCAGTCTCACTGATTCTATTACCCCATTACCCTAGTTACTGTGTCTATCCATCGCATCCAGGGTTCTCCTCTTATGTACTGTCCCTCCACCCTCCCGAGCATAATGTCCTCCAAGGACATGGTCTCTTGGCCATGTACCCAAAGTATGTGAGACAAAGCTTCAAAATCCTTGTCTCCAAGGAGAAATTTGGTTTCACCTTCTATAACAAAGACCTGTTTATTCTTTTGGAGATCTAAGGTCTGTTCAGCACTCTTCTCCAGCACCACAACTCAACGGTATTGATTTTTCTTCTGTCATCCTTAGTCATTGTCCAGCTCTCTGATGCATAACGAGTAATTGAAAAAGACCATGGCCTGGATCAGGAGAACCTCAGTCCCTAGGCTGACATCTTTACTCTTTAGCACTTTGGAGAAGTCTCTGACAGCAGACTTCCCTAAAGTAATTTGTCTTTTGATTTCCTGACTGCTGATTCCAAGAGTATAGATTGTGGAGCCAAGCAAACTGAAATTGTTAGCAACCTCAACCTTGGTGCTGCCAACCAGCCCAGTGGTGAGAATCCCTGTTTTCTTGATGTTGAGCTTCAATTCATATTGAAGACTACAGTTTTCAACCTTCTTCAGCAAACGCTTCATGTCCTTCTCAGTTTCGCCAAGCAAGGTTGTGTCATCTGCATAATGTAAGTTGTGGATGAGTCTCCCTCCAATCCTGATGTCACATTTCTCTTCATAAAGCCCAGCCTCCCAAATGAGGTGCTCTGCATATAGATTGAAAAGGTATGGAGACAGGACATTTTGAAATGTAACACAAAAAGACAAAGCAAAATATTGTGACAACCTGTGCGAAGAGCGGGAGTTAGAGAAGCAAAAGGGCTTGTTCAGCATTTTTCAAACAGAAGAATCCACTGAGGTCCACTACTGAGTCTCATGGTATTTTCATTACCACTCAAGTGAAAATGTTTTCTCATTTGTAATATTACGTGACTAATAGACTGTTTCAGAGTGTATTGCCTTATTCCCAAACATTTAAGGCTTTTCTAGATTTCTTCCTGATTTTTAATTTAACACCATTGTGGTCAACAGCATGAACCCTGTCCTGACACATTAGAGTCCATTGCGGCAGTCACCGTGTCAGTCCACCTGGTCGAGGGTCTTCCTCTCCTTTGCCAACCCTCTTCCTTGTCAGGAAGAGCCAGACCTTGGACACAGACATCGTTCTGGGAAAGGTGAGATAAAGAGAGGGAGACCCTCAACAGTATAGATTTACCCACTCATTGTCACAATGGGCTCGAGCATGGCAGAGATCGTGATAAGGGAACAGGGAAAAGCAAGGTTCAAATGTGTTGTTTATAGCATTGCTGTGAGGCTTTATGGACTCAAGGGAACATAATAGCAACAGTCAGATCTGCCAGGCCTCAGGCCAAGCCAAGATCCCTGTGCTTAAAGAGTGAGTAGTGACAACAGGACAATTCGCCTGAGACAGTAGGGTGATTCTCCCCACCAGGCTGTTCACCGCCAAAATACTGCCCTCTCAGACCAGCCCTGGAGCCCCCAGCACAGTCCCCAGGTTCTCCCTGGTCTGCAGCTCTGAGAGAGCCACAGGCCTTGTTCCTGTTTTCTTAGAGGCAGGAAGGGCAGGAGGGAAGGAATGGATCTGGGGCTTCAACTCAAGAAAGCTAACATCCATCCCAGAACTCACAAATTTGTGTAGAAAGGGGTTTAGAGGTCATATTACCCAGATATCTACCCACCTACTCCCTTGATTTCTCCCAACTAAGTGCTACTCCTGGGTATCAGAGCCTTCCTCCTACTCAGTCTTTCTTCACAAAGGCACCTCAGGTTTGCAGGAACACCCACCACCACGCACATGTGCACAGGGGATATTGTCCATTACCCTGTGGGCTTCTCCCGGTGGTGACGCCCGCTAAGCCCCACTGGCCCCTTCATAAGTCTTCCTATCACAGGCCACTTCTGCATGGATGGGGTTGCCTCTGCCCCATGCCCTGCTGGGAGCTTCCAGGCCAACAGGGATAGCCTCCAGCCCAACACCAATCTCTCCTGCTCAACAGGTTGGTTCTGAATTCTATGCTTTTTTGTACAATGGGGAGGGTAACTTGACCAATTTGGGCTTTCTCTAAAGGCTAAGGGAGGCAGGGGTGTGTGTGGAATTACTGCCCCGGGAGCATGTCCAGTTCCTGGATAAGGATTGGGCATCTTCTGGCTTCACAGTCACTGGACCTGGGAACCTCAAGTCCCGTCACACTATTAGGGAAATTGAAGAAGTCCACCAAATATAAGATGAAGGGTGACGTGGTGAACCCTTAATACTGCACACCTGGAGAAAAAAGGTGCAGGAGGGCCTGTGGATGGTGGAGTTGGGGAGTGGGGGCTTTGGCAAGCTGTGGGGTGGGGGTGTGAGGGCGTAGGGGAAGAGCCCTTCATCTCTACATCTACACTAGAGGGCAAGTCCACTCTCACTGGCTGGCTCTTTCCTTTCCAGTTTCTAGTCAGTGTCTGTGGTGCCCAGCTGGATACTTCTGCCCTAGCAGAGCCACCCACCCTATCCCATGCCAGCCTGGCACATTTGGCCCTCGCCCGGGGCAAGATGAAGCCACAGACTGCACTAGGTGTCCAGCAGGCAGGGCCTGAACCCAGGCAGGACTGGCTTGGCCAGATGCAGAATGCATGCCCGGGTGACTGCATGCCAAGGGGTGAAGTGTGCACCAAGGGGTGAGTGTGTACGTAGGGGTGAGGGCGCACCTGTGGAGAGGGGTGGAGGGAGGGATGCTCTGTCCTCTCCCCAGCACATGACCACTTTTAGAGAATACTTGACATCCCTCCATTAGAGATCCTAGCTGATTGGGTTAGTCAAGACCACTGCCTCACATGGAGCTGCCAACCGTCTCACCATCAATCTGGAGCTGCCCAAAGCCTGCTTCCCAGGGGCACAGGAAGCCTGCGCACTTGCTGCCCCAGCTTGCTTTATGGCTAGGAGGAGGCCTAGAGAGGTAGACGTTCTGCCAGAGGCACCCATCAGGCCTAGGACACAGCCGGGTTTTCCTTTGAGCATCTAGGGTCTAGGCGGTGCAAACAATTCTCATTCTCATCCAGGAACTGAAAGTTTGGCAGAGCCTCTCGGAGGTGCCTTGGAGGGAAAGCATGGCATTCACTTCTGAAAAGCAGCCGCTGGAGCACAATTCTACTCCAGCTCACGTGGGGTCACCATAGGTGGGAGTCAACTGGCTGGAAGGTGGTTATTTAGGGACTTGGATTCTGCTTTTGGAGTACCAGGCTCAAACTCCTTGGCTATTCTAGGTACGTATGCCCCTCGGGTTCCTCTAGTCCCCATGCTCCGGCTCATGCCTGCCCACCAGGGACCTTCAGCAACCGAAATGACCTCTTTGGCCTGTCCTAGTGTGAGACTTGCCCCGTGGGATTGGCCTGTCCTGCGGGTGAGTGAGGACAGAAAAAGCAGCCTCAGTCGGCTGCTGGGCAAGGCCTGTGAGTGGAGAACTGGCTCCACTTGGAGGCATGGAGCCCAGAAAAAGCAACCTGGATCCTCAGACCCCTCGTCCACTCACAGCTTGGGGTGTCCAAAGAACACTCAGCTCCTGCCCCAGTCCCTTGGGTATGGGTTCTGGGGGCCTCTGCTGAACCTTACGAGCCCCACCCCAGTGTGTGACTCAGCTTGTGTGCTGCGTCTCCAGGACTAGTTCAGGACTATGTCTACAGGAACTGGTGGCCCGGACTCATACCCACTCTCGTGCTCAGCTGGCCACTTCTTCCCTCTAGGCACCAGATACCCAACCCAGTTTCCATGTTCCCCAGGCACCTGGAGTAACCAGAGCGAGCTGACCACCATGAAGGAGTGTGTGCCATGTCCCAGGGGCTGGTTCTGTATCAGTGGGGCCCAGGAACTCTGGGATGTGCCCGACTGGGCATTATTGCCCACAAGGTGAGAGGCTTGTTTGTAACGGGACAGATGGGGGTTAGAGCTCAGGGAGACTTCTGGAGAGGAAGGCTGGGGCAGGAGGTGGTGGGCAGCAGGCTGAGGCCATATAGAGGGACTCTGGGAATCATCAGCCACTGAGCATCCTGAATGAGGGGTCACTAGGGGGTGTCATCCTAAAGAGTGGTCCCCCAAAGGCTAAGTCCTGGCTGAGAGGTACTTCCTGCTCCCTCCTTCATACCCAGTGACCAAGGAGCAGTGCAAGAACTCCATTGGCCCAGTTCTTCCTTCCTCTCACTCTCCTGTGCCTTCTAAAACAGGTACAAAGTGGGGAACGCAGTTCTCCTGTCCACCGGGGACTCATAGCCTCCAGACAGCCAGTGAGCAGCTTGAGAGCTGTCTGCCCTGCCCGCCAGGGGCCTTCGGTCCCAGGGGAGCCCCGACACCTGTGCTCTGCCCAAGGTGAGCAAGGCCCAGGTATATATGGCCAGGCTTCAAGTCACGTTACCAAGTGTCCCTGCATGCCTGTGGGAGGACAGCACTGTTTCTGAGAAGAAAGGTGAGGCCTCAGCCCCAGGACCAAGCAGTATGTGAGAGGTTTCACTATCATGGCCTCTAAGGAGGACCCTGCATGCACTTCCTCCGAGACAGATCTTGTTCTTGAAGATCTTGAATATGGATGACAGGCTGCACCCCATCCATTTCTTCTCTCACTATATTGTCGTTGTTTGCCATTGAGTCAGAATTGACCCATAGCTGATCCTCCAGCAGGTTTTCAGGGCAGTTTATTGTTTCAGAGGAGAGTGTCAGTCCTTCTCTCACAGAGAAGCTGGTGGATTTGAACTGCGTGCCTTTGAGATCACAGCACAGCTTCTTAACACTAGGCCACCAGAGCTCCTAGCTCTCTCACTCTATAAAGGGCCTTTAAAACTCATTAGAAATGAAAGAGAGAAATATGTTCACAGCAAAGGGACAGATTACTTTAACAACTAGCACAGTGTCCCATAAGCTGGTGCCTGGTTTTAATGTCTCCAGGGCCAGTACCACCCAACTTGGGCTATGTTTGGGGATTCACCAGCCGTACCCTGAGGCTGGCCTCTGGAGATGATGCTGGGGTTGAAGCAGGCTGACAGTATACTCTTCTGTCCTGCAGCAGAAGAATCCTTGTCTTTCTGTTGGAAATGGTGACCTCAGACGCTCCTCTGTGGAGGGTGGTCTTACTCACACCCTCAGTTCTCTCCTCCTACTCTAGGGGGACCTACCGCCAGGAGCCAGGTGCAGGGCTGCCTGTGGACTGTGCCCCATGACCTATTGGTCACCACTGCCCTGAACTGAGCACTGCTGCCTCTCTGCCTTGTGGTCTTGGCAGCTTCTCTGTAAGTGGGGTGTGTGTGTGTGTGTGTGTGTGTGTGTGTGGTCATCAAGGGGAGAGACCAGGCTTGGCTGTCCCCCAGAAGGTTGGGTGTGGGAGGGACCCTAAAGGGTAGAGGCTGACCTTCCAGAAGTCTTCACCAAGAAGCCAGCTCCAGCATCTTGTACGACCTGGGGTGAGAGAAACCTCCTCAGAACACAGCTCCCAGCAGTGAGACAATGGAAGTGACCTGTCCGTTCCAGGATGGTCTGGGATAAAAAGGAGTGTGTATAAAGACAGATAAAGAGCTTCAGTCCAAGTTCAGAGGGCGTGGGTTCTATCTCTGCTGGTGTGAATATAGGTGGGAGGGTTCTCCACGATTCACTGGATCTGAAGAGAAATCCCTGCTTTTGTCCTTCTGGGATTCTGGGAGAGGAGAGCCATTCCTGTGTGCTGACAGGTTAAGCCCTTGGGGGAGCTCCTGGTTGGCAGAAAGAATTAAAGTGCTCAGCAGCTAACCAAACAGCTGGAGGTTCAAGCCCACCCAGAGTTGACCAATGAAAAGGGCTGGCATTCTAAGGAAAAATCAGCCACTGAAAACCTTTTGGAGCACAGCTCTACTCTGGCTCACACGGGTAACCAGAGCCTGACCGAGGGAGCTGGCCACGCCCTTGGGACTGCTGATCTATGGTGCCTTTCTGGCCTCACAACACGGGCACTCCATCCGCAGCCCTGTCACCCACAAGCTGTCATCTAGGAGAAGCCCAGAGGGGCGGGAGTGCTGGAAGGTATCCACCCAGCATTCTGTCCTGTCTCTTCCCACGCAGAGGTGTCGCGATTCTCTCCTTGCTGGGAGCTCTGGGTGGTGAGGGTTGGATCCTTCCTTTCAACCCCTAAGTAAAACATGAGTAGAGCATGGATTTTCTTCCAAGCTCAATAAGTGATCTGTGTCCTCTTGCTTCTGCCCCCAGGCCCTTCCTACCCATCTCTTGCCTGCATAGATTGTCATGAACTCTTCTATCTATAGATTGCAAGGACAGTGGCATTGCATAATTATCTTGTCAGCTCTCCCACTGCCTCCCTGACAAGCTTCCCAAAAATGGACAATTTGACAGTGATCCCAGGAAGTGTCACTGTTGTCAAAAAAGAAGCAAAAAACTCAGAGTTGACTTTTCTTCAAGTGGCGCTTTCTCAGTCCCATCACTTAGGGCCGCTTGGCTGGGTGGAAGCTGTTATCTAGTCTTGGCACCTCTCACACATCGCTGAATTGAACTAGACGGCTGCTGCAGGGCGAGCTCAGATGGCACGGCGTGGAAATGCTCTTTCCCTCCTTCTCTCAGTCGCCACTAATAGCCTTCCACCTGGATGAAAACCCAGCTGTCTTCGAGCCCACTCTGACTGTGTGCGGCCCCACAGATCATTCAATGGGCACATTTTCAGAAGCAGGTCACCAAGGCTTCCTTCCAAGGTACTTAAACCTTTTCACTTGCAGCTCAGCTCTTAAATGCACCGTGCAGAGACGGCCTGTATCCACACAGTTCCAGCATTTGCAAAGTGCTCTCACATAAATTACATAAATTATCATGTGTGTTCCCCCTACTAGCACAGCTTTGTATTTCATGACTGGAAGGTCTCAGGAAGAGAGGGGACTCACCCTAGGTCACAGAGTCAGCAGATGGCACATCTGAGATGCTAACCCACTGGGCCTACTGATGCCCAGTATCCCCCTAATACCTGACACCTGTGTCCAGGCTCTGAGCCCCAAAGGCCAAGGAGGCTCTAATCAGGACACCTTGCAGAGAGCTCTGGCAGGACCCAGGTGAAGCTGAACACGATGAGGTTGTGCAGAGACTGAAGCCCAGCACCGACCCTCTCACGGAGCCTCTGGGACGGTGTCCCCCTTTTCTAACTCCACCTCACACATGGGCTAGCCGAGGTCTCCATCCCCAGCCCCTCCTGGCATCTACAGGCCTGTGTGGTTCCAAGCCTGATGCTCAGAAAGCACCTTAGCTCTGCGGCTCTGTGCTCTGCTTGGCGTGGGCTCCGGTCAGACCCTGTGGTCACAGCCCTGCTCCTAGCATTTGACAGGGAACAAGTGGGAGCAGTTAACTTGATGGGTTTACTTTTTGTAGGATTGCAAAATACCCATCAAGTGGTGTTTTAACTATAACTTCTTCACCAACCAGAACCCCATTGCTGTTGACTCCCACCACCTGGTAAGACAAAGTAGACCCGCCAGGCTACTAGAACTTGTATAGTGAGAACTTCTTGGCAACAGACTGTGCACACAGGCGATCGGGCACCACAGAGACTGAGCGTGGCAGCTGCTTTCCCAATTTAGCACCTATCCTGAATGTCCGCAATGTGGCAGGCCTGTCCTACATGTCAGAGAGATGGGAAAAAAAGGGGGGGGGGCCTTATTCTCAAATCTCTTTTCAGGGTCCAGGCCGGCTCCAGTGTCAGGCTTGCCCCAGAGGGAAAATCTGTAACCAGATGAAGCTGGCAGTCCCCTTGACCTGTCCACCTGGGCACTACTGCCTGGCCCGGGGCCTGCACCCCCTCCCCTGCCCCACAGTGAGACTCTTCCTGAGCCACTTCTGCCTGGGAAGGTTCTGGAGCCATTCAGTTTGTGCTGGCTTGAGACAGACAGGATGTGGCCATGGTCCAGCCCCCAGTCCTCCACCTCCAGAGAAACACTTCCTGAGCAGGATTCTCTGGAGATTTGATGACGTGGTCCATGGGTGGGGGTGGGGGTGCTGGTGCTGCTAACATAGGGCTGCACCTCTGGCGGTTCAAGTCCACGAGGGGCTCTGCAGGAGAAAGGTGGACATTTGCCTCCCAGTGGAGGCTCAACTATGAGCTGAAACCAACTCAATTGCGATGAGTTTGAAGGACTTTTTCTTCTTTAGGTTTCTCATGGAATGTTCCAAACAAATGTCACAGAGATAGAGCACCCAGGACTGGGGAGGTGGGAGGGACTCAGGGAGCCAGGAGACAGATGAAAAGGGGATTTGTAGGCAACCTTGGTCTCTCAGAGGGCCTTTACCTCCCTTTCCCTGACCCTAAACTGTGATTGTCCCTCCTCAAGGCACAGACACCTCCTCAGATGACCTGGAGTCCCATTCTCTCTACCATTCTGCTTTCAGGGGAGACTTTGTTAATGATAAGCTGTTGTGAATAACTGGGTTGTTGAGAGCTCTAGCTCTGGTTAAGGTAGCCAGCTGCTCCCCAGTAGCCTGGTGGGTCTACTCTGTCCTACCAGGTGATAGGAGTCAACAGCAATGGGGTTCTGGTTGGTGAAGAAGTTATAGTTAAAACACTACTTGGTGGGTATTTTGCAATCCTTCAAAAAGTAAACCCACCCTTTTCTCGATTCCTCCCAGTTCAATGAAGCCCCCAGCAGGCTTCTCCTTTCTTCTGGGCAGAGAGGTCTGGCCCTGGCCTCAGGCACTCCTCTGCCTCTTCCTTGCACACAGGCCTGGAGACCCCAGGGCCTTAACCTCACTGCCCTTCCCTCTGCTCAGGGCACTTTCCGTGAGGCCCCCGGAGCGGCTCATGTAGAGGACTGCCAGCCGTGCCACCCAGGCACCTTCTGTGGCAGAGCTGGCCTGGCAAGGCCCGAGGGGCCGTGCTGTCCTGGGCATCACTGTGGGCTCGGCTCCACCCTTCCTCCCCAGTGAGTGCAGCTCCCACCATGGCCTCTTCAGGTCAAATCTGGGCAGGTGTGTGGGGAGGGGGACATGTCCTCTGTGGGATCACCGTCTAGTAGGCAGAGACTAGTAACCCCAACAAGTATGTGAGGAGATTATACTGAGGAGACATGCGATAGAACTGATTTAAGTAAAGATGGCCAGGACCACTTAACGTGGAAGAGACAAGAAAGCATCACAGTGTCTCACGACGAGGATTCTTGGTGGTGGGCTGGCTAAGCATTCAGCCACGAAACAAAAAGGTTGGCAGTGTGAACCCAACAGTCAACTCGTAGAAGAAAGGTGTCAGTCAGTTTCCAGAAAGGTGCACCGCTATGAGAGCCCAATGGGGCAGTTCTGCCCTGTCCTATAGGGGAGCTTTGAGTTAGCATCAACTTGATGGTAATGGGTCCAATCTACTGCAGCTTCCTAGGCTCCACTGGAAAAGTTCATAAACAGACCATTTATTTTAGCTAAGGTCCGAATGTTCTCATTAACATTGTTCTGTCTGAGGCCATTGTTTCCCACTGTCAATCCACCGAAAAGACCTTCCTATTTTTCACTGACCCTGGGCCTACATAATGTCCTTCTTCAGGGACTGGGCCCTCCTGATACTTCTTCAAAGTATGTAAGACACAGTCTTACCATCCTTGCTCCAAAGGAGAATTCTAGCTATACTAAAGACGGATGTGTTTGTTCCTCTGGCAGCCCATGGTATAGTTCATATTCTTTGCCAACACTACCAAATACACTAATTTCTTCTTCCACTTTTGCATATGCAATATTGGTCACCCATGGCAGACAGTGTTTGGTGGAACTCCCCGATTAAAACAATCCTGGAAGCAAGAGTGGCATCCACTTCCGAAATATCTTGCCTCTAGAAACCCTATGAACTTGGAGAAATGAAGAAAGTTCATAGGGTCACTATGAGTCATCTATGACTCTATGGCATTGACCAGCAACAACGATTAAATGATTGGAAAAAACATCAAGTACATCTCAGGCCTGAAAGTGACATATTTTTAACACTTTAAAGAGGTCTTTCACACTGGATTTGGACAAAGCAGAAAGCAATTTGATTTCTTTTTTTTTTTTACACTTTTCATTGTGAATGGGTGGGGTTTTTTTCCTGCAAGGACTCATACACAATTTGATTTGTGATATTGACTGCAACCCCTACAATGCAACATTAGTCAACATCTTTCATGTTTCCATTCAACCTCCTTTCCTAACTTGTCTTGCCTTCAGATTGTTGTCCTCGGACAAATATTGCCCTTTTGATCTCAAATGGTTGATAGTTCTAAGGAATCTGTACCCCACCTAAGATACACCTTATAGATCTATCTACTGTTTGGCTAAAAATTGAGTGAAGGTAGTAAGTTCAATTGCAGGCAATAAGGTTGACTGAAGGCCATAGTCTTAGGAGTTCCATCAAGTATCTCTCAGTCTAGAAAGCAGAAAATGTGACATGGGGTCCCAGGACGGTGAACGTCTCTCTGAAAGAGCCAGAGGGAGTGAGAATAGCCCAGCCCCTCATTGCCCCAGAGCAAATATGGGCCCGTAGCCCAGCCCCATTGTGCCTCTAGAGACACACCAGCAGCAAGAGGTTCATTTCTTTGTTGTTGACTCACAGACTTTACTCACAGTTGTAGACCAAGAGTGGAGTTTATTAGGGAAATGAGTTGGAGAGTTGGGGATGAATATCTCACAACTCAAGTCCACGTTTTGTCCAGCAGTCTTAAACCAGATTAACAGGAAAACCCAATTCCTTAAAATTCCTGGTTCATATCAGTAGCACAAAACCAAAATATTAAAAAAAAAAAACCAAAATATTCAGCAAGGTTTGCCTCAGAGCAGTTATAAGTCAGCTTCTCCTTCATTATTTGGCAAGCACAACAAAACTTTCAACTGTGCCACCGAAAGGTAATAAAGGAGGTCAGAATTGCTTCCACTGTGGAAAGCTTGGCCACTTCAGTAGACAGTGTCACAGACGAGAGCCACAGATAGGCAAGGGAGTATAGAGGAAGCTCCCACTCACTTGCTTTAAGTGTGGATCTGAAGGACACTTGGCCAAGGGTGGCCCACATCAGGTCCTTGTGGCTGACAGGACGGACAGGCCCCAGCTCCCAGCTGGAAACAAAGCAGGACACTTCAATGATTTAGATCCTCCCAGAAGAGGTGTGGGTGAGCATTAACATTACTGGTAAGTACATTCATTTTCTCCTGGACACAAGAGTCTGCTATCTGGTCCTAAAAGCCTTCTGAGGTCCTAACTCTTCTCACTATTTCTTAGTTGTTGGAATTGACGGAAAACCTCATAAGCAGATCCTTACTTCACCTCTGCCTTGCATGTGGACTTCCGAGTTGTAAAACAACCCAGTGGTAGATGGAATTTGCTCCAGGACTTAAGAACAATAAATGACATAGTTGAGCCTCTATATCTTGTGATTCCTAACCTTTATACTATAATAGACAAAGTGCTAGTCAATAGGCCTTTTATTGTAAGAACCACCTTCCCTCTGTAACTTGATTTGTGCCACTACTAGAGCCTCTACTTAGAATATTACTGCCTTTTTAATTTTTGACTCATGTACTTTTAACTTGTTAGTTAAATTTGTGTCTTCTAGGCTGCAACACTTCCATGATACATCTTCAAGGATATGAACATGCACGGCTAAGCACAATTGATAACAGTGCATCAAAATTCCAAAATCAATCTCCATAATAGTCTATGTGTTTCCTATTGCCAAAGGGGCCCTTTAGAGTAGTGAGAGAAGATCTTCACCCTGAAACCTACAGCGTCCCTTTCCAGCAGGAAGTAGCTAAGAGAATATGCGGTCCCCTTTTCCTTATGAATCAGGGTGAAGTCTCTCTCAAGGAGGAGTGATAGGGAATGGCAAAGGACACACTGACAAAGGAGATTAATCGGAACTGGCTTTGACAAGCACTGTGGCAATTGGACAATTAAAACAGACTTTCAAGGGGAGAAAAAAGAACGAACTGGGGAGGAGGGTAGAGAAAATAGTGCAAACCCAAATGAATGAAAACCCAAAATCTCTGTAAATGTCCATTAAAATTAATAAAATTTAATAATAAAAAGAAAAAACCTTTCAACTGTGGGCTTTATCTTAGGGCTCCTCTGCTTACACCATACCACAGTTTTTCTGCAGCAATGCCACAGTCCACCACCGTCATGGGATTTCACCACCAGGGTCTTACTCTCACCAGGATCTTGCTCAAGTTTCCCTCAAGTCTTGCCACCAGTGTGGGAAGCGCTTTCTTCCTCCCTCCTTTCTCCTCCTCCTCCTTCTTCCTCTCTCCTCTCTCTCTCCCTCTCTCTCTCTCTCTCTCTCTCTCTCTCTCTCTCCCTCTCTGTGTTGTCCCACAGCTGTTGATGGTTTGCAACACCCTATCTTAACCTGCAGTTAAGGTAGCTGGAGACCAGAGGGGGCTAAGGTAATGGCTAAAAAGGCAACTATAAGCTAACATGGAACTATCTAGCCAGTAAGTCTAGTTTTCTAAACACATTTTTCAGTTTTGTTTCACTTTTGCCAGCATGATGGAGCCCTCTGAGGAAGAGCCTCTATTTGCAATATGGACAAATATTGCATGAGGGAGGAAAGAGCGAAAGAAATGAAAGGATACATATAGCCACCACACAGAAACCAATCTGCTAACCCTGAGTACACCAAGTACCAGCATGTGATCAGGTGACAATGGAAAAAAGGTGAACCTTGGGTCAGTTCCGACTTGACAGGAAACAAGTGTCTCTCTCTCTCTCTCTCTCTCTCTCTCTCTCTCTCTCTCTCTCTCTATATATATATATATATATATATATATATATATATATATTCCCAACAATTCAAGGCTGTCTAGTCATGTACATGATGCTATTTGCATCTAACAACTATATAGTTCCATTAATTGCAGGACACTACTATTTTGCATAAGCTTGAAATAACCTGTTACTTTGTGTAAGCTGTCATTGTTAAAAAAAAAGTGAGACTCAGAAAAAGTGAGGGTACTGGTAAAAAGATTAAACTTCAAAAAGGTCCTAGAAATGGGGAATACCAGCTGAAGTGTTTCAGCAAACACATGGAGGCCAGGAAGCAATAGTAAAAGCCAAGAAACTTGGAATGCAGCTACCAGGCAAAATACTAGAAGCGATCCCAATTCTGTCCGCCTCAAAAGGAGATACAGACAGAAAGAGACCTACAGAGAGAGCATGAGCAAGAGAGATCGAGATGTAGCAGAGCACAATGCACAAATGATGGAATGATATCATATGGAAGTATTTCATGTTTATTCAGAGACAGCTGGGTCAGTACATGGGCAGGAGGTAACTGCCTGAAATTTCGGGGAGAATCAGAGGAGGCTTTGGACCAAAGGATATTCACTGCTAATGTCAGATGGATCTTGGCTTACAGCACAGAACAGCAGGAAGATGCTCACTGGTGTTGCATTGACTATGCAAAGGCACTGGACTGTGTGGATAATAATAATCATTATTGTTATTATTATTGTTATTCTTACCGTAACACAGTGCAGATGAGTATTGTAGGGACCGAAATGTGCTTATGTGAAACCTTAAATGGATAAGGGGCAGTCTTCTCAAAAAATGCTGGGGACAGTGCATGGGTGAAATGAAAGAAAGGTGGGCATCAGGGTCAAATCTTTTTCCCTATCCCATTGATATCCTATACATATGTAAACCTTCTCCCATGGAGCAGCTGGTGGATTAGAATCGGCTGCATTTGGGATTGCAGCGCAGCTTCTTACCACTGGTTCACCAAAGCTCACTAATCAAATAAATCAGGGAAATGCACTCTATGACGAAAAGGGCCTCAAGACTGGCGGAAGGCTCTTCCCTCTCCAAGACTTGGTTTGACAGATGACACAAGGCTCCAACTGCTATTCTGTACTTGGCCAGCAGAGAGCGCACTACAAAGGACAGGTGGCTCCAAGCAGAGAAGAGCCACCGTGGAGTCGTCCCAAGGGTCAGGAAGAAGCAGAACAGACCTGAATTGCAATGTCCTCATCGGGTGGTGGTCCCTAGGATTCCTCCCGGTCAAGGGCAGCACCTTCGAATTCCCAGCACCCTTTACCTCTCTGCCTGGTCAGAGACTCAAGCCCTGTGCGATGCCGAGAGCCAGGGCCATCCGGGTGCGGGGACCGATCTTGCTAAGAAGTATCCCCTGCTCAAGCCAAACGCTTTGACACCGATGGAAAGAAAAGCCGAGCGCCCGAGGCTCCACCAGATGAACTGCTGCTCCTGCTGCTGAGCCTGTTTGTCTTGCTTCTTGGCCCCTTGATATTCCTCAGCCTCTGCTCCTGCCCCTCAGCACATGTGTCCTTGGAGTGTGCTTGGTGCATGTACCTGGACCTCTAAAGTTCTTTGCACTTGAACCTCTAGCTTCCTTTGCCTTCTCCCCGCCACACACCACACACTTAACTCAGGGGCACGCGGCTGTGGCAATCTGAGCGCGCGCCCGGCCACAGCTCATGCTTCATGTGGGCCCCCTGTCATGGCGCCTGAGTCCGGGCGCGCACCCATTCACTGACAGCTGCGTGTTAATAACGGACCCCAGGAAGCGCGCTCAGCTGTGTCCTTGTCGGCACCAGTAGGAGACTGCTCTGCACTCTTAATACTTTTCTGAGTAGGAGACCGCTCTCTTTGATACTTTTCTTCATTAAGAAAACAAACCACCCACACACTCCACCCCCCACCTACACACACAGACACACACATACCCCCCACAACCCAAACCAAAACAACCTCAAGCTGGACCCTGAACACGGGGGTTATCCAGTATCATAACGGACCTTTCCTCCACCACTGACACCATGGATGGTTTCAAAGGTAAGCCGGGCCCCAGGTGTCTTAGCCCTGCACCAGGGGTGGAGGTGCTGCCAGATCGGAGTCGGTGCCCAAGGCGCACAACCCGCGCCCCCCAGGCTCTTCTCTGGGCTGCTTCTCTTAGCGCCCTGAGAGGAACTCAAGAGATCCCGTGTCAGTGCTGGGCGGATTTTGAAACACTGTTTCCAAAGGCTTTCCCGCAGAGGAAGGTCTGGAGTGCTGGCTCTAGGAGGCAGCCTTGTGAGAGCCCTCAGATGCACGTGCAGACCCCACCTGCACAGAAACCGGCCTCTGTGTGTACACCTCCAGAGGCTGTCACAACGTGCAGTTAGAGTTCTGACTCAATGGGCTGTATCGGGACCCCGAGGACAAGTTGTCCCCTCTCATCACCCCGCAACAGCCCGGGGGGTCTCAGAAGCAGAGGAGGCCTCGGGTGTACAGGGGGCCGGGTCCAGGGTCCTTGGAATGAACGAGAACAGCGTGGCTGCTCAGGAAGAAGACCAACAGGTTTGCAGACCAGGCCCAGAGAGCCCTGAGAGGAAGCAGTCGGCTGGGCGAGTTGTCTTGACTCCCAAGCCTGGGCCCCTCCAGACAGCTTTCCATTCGCAGAGCTCCCAGGGTAGGTACAAGAGGCCTTGCGAGAGCCACATCCTGAGCTCGTGTACCATCCGCAATGGAATCACCAGCTCCTACAGTTCCAGCCGTGCTTGCCCACCAGTGAAGAAGAGGAGGAGGGTTCCTGTCACATCTCACTCCCCACTTCTTCTGGGATCCAGGCAAAGACTGAATGAGAAGGCCCTAGAGCCTGGCACCTCGGCTGCAGGGTTCATGTCCAATCTCACCCCGTGCACAGACAGTTCACGGGTGTCCTCAGGGCAGGAGAGGATCTTGCAGAGCTGCGCATTGCCATGTGACAGCTCAAAGCCGCGCAGGTGCAAGACTCCTCTACTGCCACCAAGGCAAGGGCTTCCTCTGGTGCTGCCAACCGCCCCTGACCCAGGGTGCAGAGTCACATCGCATGATCTAGATGTGGAGAAGGAAGCAGTTTGGCGCTCCATCAAAAAGCTGCTGGCTGGTGACAAGGAAGCCAGCCCCAGTGGGAGCTCCCCGCAGACTCCTGGTGCTTCCCCCCTGTCCTGTGCATGGGCTGCTCCAACAGAAGCGGCACCTCCAGGCCCCAAGCTGACCCAGACACAGAACACCTGGGGGTGGGGGTCAAAGCAGGGTGCCCTAGACCTGGTAGGCACACGTCTCTCCACCAGCGCAACACCCCACACATCACACACCATCCCCAATTCATTGCCCAGGCCAACTATACACCTGGCCCCACAGCCTGCCCTTGACAGCTGGGTCACTCCCACGGACACCGCCCTGCCATCCCAATTTGCACTTCACGGGCCTCCCTCTATCAGCACAAGCTACTTGGCATCTGCCAGAGACCCTCATCAATCCCTTGGAGTCATCTCTCTATTACCTGCAATTAGTATCGCCCCTGCTACTGCCCCTCTCTCCGGCAGCAGGGCACTCCAGATATTACACAACACCCCCAGATCATATCCCAGGGCATCTACATACCTGGTCCCACAGCCTGCACCTGACAGGGGGGTCACCCCCATGGACACCACCCCGCCATTCCAGCTTCCACTTCATGGTCCTACTACCTCTAACAACACAAGGTACGTGGCATCTGCCAGAGCCCCTGGTCAATCCTTCGGTGGTAGCTCTGGGTTATCCTTTGGGCATTGAGGTTGTGTGCTTCAAACTCAAACGTGAAGCGTGCCTCATCTGCCAGAGATACGGGGCCCGTATTTCAGGCCCCTGTTGGGAAGCACATCCACAAACAACTGGGACCTACTCCCACCTCACGGGGATCCCAGCAGCTCCACCTCCAGCCACAGGCTACAGCTTTCCCCCCACATCAGTCACCATTTGTCAGGGAGACGGGCTTAGCTCTCAG